TGCCATGCAGAAAAATGCTTTATTAATTCTCATTTAGCTGAACGAAAAAGTATTTTGCTTTATGAGTTTCTTTCTAAGCAGAAGTTCAATAAAATTCTCATGGATGGAATGTGATGTTTCTGATTTAGTGACAATCTGGCCCTGGATTGAATTTGGATTTTTTTTTTCCTTTCACCATGTACCTCTCTTTCCAGCAGTCTGATCCCTAAGAGCAGACAGCAAGAAATCCCCTTCCTAAGAATTTTTAAATTAGAAAATATGGAGAAGGTAGGAAATCTTCAGAAGCAGAAAACACCGAGTCAATGGAAACAAACAGGTCCAGTTTCAAAAGTGGCTTTCTTTGCTACTTCCGGTGATAATGAAATCAAAAGGAATTGCCAAGATTTATCAGAACCATGCATTCTGAGAACAAGATTTTTGTTGTTGCTATTGTTAGAGAGAAGAATCTTTTGAGAAATTGGGAGGCAGATTTCAGCAAATCCATTAGATGAAACTGACACAGCATGAGGAATCAATATCCAGGGGTGATTTCAGATCCATCTTTGGGGGGCATTGTTCGGAAGGAATGAAGGGCCCCTAAATGAGTAAGTTAGCATCAGAACAAATTAGAACAGAATAAAAGAGTTGGAAGGGATCTTGAAGGTCTTCTAGTCCAACCCCCTGCTCAGACAGGAAACCCTATACCGTTTCAGACAAATTGTTATCCAGTCTCTTCTTAAAAGCCTCCAGTGTTGGAGCACCTACAATTTTTGGAGGCAGGTTGTTCCACTGATTAATTGTTCTAACTGTCACAAAATTTCTCCTTAGTCCCAGGTTGCTTCTCTCCTTGATTAGTTTCCATCCATTGCTTCCTGTCCTGCTTTCAGATGCTTTGGAGAATAGCTTGACCCCCTCTTCTTTATGGCAACCCCTTAGATATTGGAGCACTGCTATCCTGTCACCCCTAGTTCTTCTGTTCATTAGACTACACCAGGGGTAGGCAACCTTGGCTCTTTTATGACTCATGGACTTCAACTCCCAGAATTCCTGAGCCAGCCATTCTGGGAGTTGAAGTCCACGAGTAATAAAAGAGCCAAGGTTGCCTACACCTGGACTAGACATAAAAAGCCCCCAAATCAAACCATTATATCCAAAGTGTGATGGTAAGGAGGGGATGGCCTTGAGGGATAAGATAAAGAGCTGAAGTTTGGAAAACCAACATGTAAAGAATATTTCATTCTACAGAATGAGGGCACCTCTGGGAAATGTTTCAGAAGGGGGTCCTCTCTAATTTTCTATAGAGTAAAAGAAAAGAAAGGGAGAAATTACAGCATCCATTAGTCCCTCACCCCACCCCAAACTGAGAAAAATAGTTTTGGAAAAAGTATGCAGGAGGTGGTGTCGTCTGCGCTACCATCATCTCAAAACCTTACACTTACATAAAAGGACGAAAGAATATTGCTGATTCAGGACTCTGAGGGGGATCTGACAAAGAAATGTTTGGCAGCTCCGCAGAGAAGTTGGGTTTTTATTTTAACCTTTAAGAATGACACCAATTTCACAGCTGTTAATGGCATGTGGAAATTATCCATCCAGAACTCCAGGACTCCGATAAATAGATTGAGGGAGAAATCTCCACATTAATTTGCTAGTTTCTTTGTTCTGAAGTATCTAATTTTATGCTTTAATTTGTTTATCTCATTTCTTTTTATTTATTAAAATGGCCCATAAGAAACTATGGCTTGACTACAGATCAGAGATGGAATTAGAGAGACAGTGGACTCAATTTTTGCAATTTTACAAGAAATCTCTTAATTAGGGTCACCCCGTAGACATCTGCAGGAGAGGAACAAGGAGAGGAACAAGTGTGGCCTTACCAAGGCATTGTAAAATTAGATTATTAAATTTTCCATTAAACTTCAGATAAATAAAGTAGAGGATTCCTGAACTTATTTCGGGATGAGATGACTGGTCTGCCCATGAGAATGTTCTTTTTTCATCATTTCTCCAGCAGGGTTTCTTATTGCATTATGTTGAGTGTTGACTATGGTAGTTTTACCTCTATGTATCTATAGCAGTGATTCTCAACCTTTTTAATGCCGCGACCCCCAACCAGTCGTAAGTCGAGGACTACTCAACCAGTCATAAGTTGAGGACTACTCAACTGGTGCAGCACCGTTTGCAGAATGGGACTTTTGGCGGGCTCAGCAGGGCAGAGACAGCCTGGACAATTCCTATTGGCTTTTGAAAGCCAATAGAATTAGACTCTATTCAAGAGAGTCTATTCTATTGGCTTTCAAAAGCCAATAGAATAAAAGGGAGTAGCACAGCTAAGGAAAAGGGGAAAAATGGTGGACTGCGTTGTTTGGCAACCCCCGTGAAATGATTGTTCGACCCCAAATGGGGTCCCGACCCACAGGTTGAGAACCACTGATCTATAGGATAATTGAGTGTAAAAGCAGAATATGGTTTGGGTCACAAAATGGAAATGTTACTGTTCAATCTTGGAAGATACTATTCATCAGGGTCATCTACTGTGGTGGGAGGGGAGGCCCCTCATGGGTTTCCCGTTTCCTTTCCTAAATTGAACCAAGATAATTTATGAAATTGTCATTACAAGGAAAACAAGCAACACTTAACTGCATGACCCCATCCTGGAATTTCTTTAAAGCTGGGGTGGAGATGCCACACCTATCTCTTAATTGAGGTTGATTGTCTATTTGTTTGTAATTTACCAGCTATTAATCTGTCAGATGATTTATACAGACGTCTTCATGCCCAATGCAGTAATCTTTCCATGCTGCTTTGCAGAACTCTGTCTACCTCAAGGTCTCTTGAGATCATCCTTTTTTGCTCCAAGAAAGAAGCCATCAGCAACTGGCCTTGCATTGTCCCTACAGTTGGTTCATTGCCCCTAAATGCTGTATTCTACCCATTCAATAAATGGGGATCATTGCTTTACATAATTGTCTTTTAGAGCAGTGGTTCTCAACATGTGGGTCGGGACCCCATTTGGGGTCGAATGACCATTTCACGGGGGTCACCAAACAACGCAGTCCGCCATTTTTTTTCCCCTTTTCCTTAGCTGTGCTACTCCCTCTTATTCTATTGGCTTTTGAAAGCCAATAGAATAGACTCTCTTGAATAGAGTCTAATTCTATTGTCTTTCAAAAGCCAATAGGAATTGTCCAGGCTGTCTCTGCCCTGCTGAGCCCGCCTAAAGTCCCATTCTGCAAACGGTGCTGCACCAGTTGAGTAGTCCTCGACTTACGACGGGTTGGGGGTCGCGGCATTAAAAAGGTTGAGAACCACTCTTTTAGAGGAACTGTAAAGCATATTATATAGGTATAGTCAAGCCCTTTATGACTTTCTTTTCCACTCTTGGGTTGGAACAATCACACAAATGTTGCAGTTATAAAGAATACAAGTCACATATTGGATATAGCACATCCATATTTTTGATTTAGGAAAGCCTGCTGCTACAAATGAAATTTGCTACAAATCTTTGGAGCTAAAGAGTGAAAGAGAAACAAGGGCAATGATAAGCATTATGTTTCTTTCCACCTGAACATAAACTTTGTTTAATGTAGCATCTCCAACCTTAGCCATTGCCTGAAGATATTCAGTAAATGGGGTAACTAAGGAGGAACTAAGGTTGGAGATGCTACATTAAACAAAGTTTATGTTCAGGTGGAAAGGAACATAATGTTTATCATTGCCCTTGTTCCTCTTTCACTCTTTAGCTCCAAAGATTTGTAGCAAATTTCATTTGTAGCAGCAGGCTTTCCTAAATCAAATCAGCTTTTTTGGCCAAAAGGTAAATGTGTTGTGTTATAGTTTGTTATAGGCACTTTACAATGCCTTGGTAAGGCCACACTTGGAATACTGCATCCAGTTTTGGTCACCACGATGTAAAAAAGATGTTGAGACTCTAGAAAGAGTACAGAGAAGAGCAACAAGGATGATCAGGGGACTGAAGGGTAAAGCATATAAGGAAAGGCTGCTGGATTTGGGTATGTCTAGTTTAATGAAGAGAAGGATGAGGGGGGACACGATAGCAGCCTTCCAATCTCTCAGGGGCTGCCACAAAGAAGAGGGAGTCAAGCTATTCTCCAAAGCGCCTGAAGGCAGGACAAGAAGCAACGGATGGAAACTAATCAAGGAGAGAAGCAACCTAGAACTAAGGAGAAACTTCCTGACAGTCGGAACAATTAACCAGTGAAACAACTTGCCTCCAGAAGCGGTGAATGCTCCAACACTGGAAGGTTTTAAGAAGAGACTGGACAGCCATTTGTCCAAAAGGATATAGGGTTTCCTGCCTGAGCAGGGGGTTGGACTAGATGACCTCCAAGATCCCTTCTAACTTTATTACATATACATACACACACATATATACACAAACACACATGTACATGTACATACATATACACATAACTTGTGGGGAATGTATGGAATTGCATAGTAACACTGATCCTAAAGACTGATAATGTGCTGCCTTCATCTGTGCCTGTTAATGCGACTGCTTTTATTGCCCAGTTTCATCACAGTACGGAGGGAGCACCTATTAAACCTCTACCGTTTTCATGTATTCAGAACACAAATGCGCTTTACAAAAGAATCCACCTTTCCTCGCCGTTTTCTGATGCGTCGGAGCAAATCCACATTTATTCAGAACTCAGGCGGGGAGTCTCCACCGGCGCAGATTACCGCGTGGAACCCCATTCCCTCAGCTCTCACCTTCTCTTGACCACTAAGGAAAAGGAACACGCGGGTGTCCCTGCGTCCGCGGATCTGTGCGGTTTTTAGATTCCGCTTGGAGATCCTTTTTAATAGGTTGGAAAATATTCTTCCTATGAACTTTCCAGGCGTCCTGTGCTTGAATGAGCATGGCTTCTCATTGGCCGCCCACCGCGTCCCCCGATTGGTCCCTGGTCGGGGAAGGGCTTTTAGGAGTGGGGGGGGGAGATAAGAGAAGCTATAAAAGCTCCAGGTTGATCACCTGCAGCGAGTAGGAGCCAGAATCGAAGGCGAAAGAAGGGGAGGGGGGGCTCTCTTTCAGTTGAGCTGATTTGGCGAGTTGTTCTCCTCCTCCTCTTTCTCTCTTTTTCCTCCAACAGCCAGATCCGTGTCTTTGCTCAAGCCGAAGAAGTGGGCAGAGAGAAAGAGAGAGAGAGAGAAAGAGAGAGAGAGAAAGAGAGAGCACGCCGCACGAACTTGGCGGAAACTTAAGAGAATGCGCCAAAAGCCCACGCTTCTCCTGCTGCTGGCGGTTGCTGCTTCTGCATCCTATGAACTCGAGCAGAATGACTCCTCGGTCAGCCCCAGGAAGGTCAGGCTGGCAACCCAAAACTCAGGTAACTTCTCCAGGTCCTTTTGCCGTTTGAGCGGGGAGGGGGGGGGAGAAACAGAGGGGAAGCCGAGTGGGCTCCGCCACCAGCGCTGGGGGGGGGGGGAGTTCTCCTGCGCAAGTGCCCTCTCTGAAATCCAAGACGCCGGGTGCAAGCGGGAGTTTGCGCAGGAAAAGTTTCCCGGGGGATGAGCTGGGTCTCTCTGCTCGCTGGCTTGGCTGCTCGGGGCACGAGAGGGTGCGGGCAAGCGATCCCTTGGAGTCTGGGCTTCTCGGGGGAAGGACGCGCAAAAGCCAGCCTTATCGCGCCATCCTCCTGAGAATGCCATCCTTCGCGAGCGACAGGCTGACTCGAGATCCCGGATCCTTTGGAGTAGGATTCTCTGCACCTTATCCTAATGGCCGTGCCCTCTTAAGCCCTGCCCTTTGCAGAAGTTAAACCGAAGCAGGTCTCCGCCACTCCTTATTTGCAAATTAATTTTTAAAAACCCCAATATTCTATTAGTTGGCTTCTCCAAAGACAGAAAATACCAGGTCGGGAAAACATGCCCTTAAAAAGAAGGAAGGAAGGAAGGAAGGAAGGAAGGAAGGAAGGAAGGAAGGAAGGAAGGAAGGAAGGAAGGAAGGAAAAAATGGAAATTATCCTAGGTGGGAAGGAAGGAAGGAAGGAAGGAAAGAAGGAAGGAAGGAAGGAAGGAAGGAAGGAAAAAAATGGAAATTATCCTAGGTGGGAAGGAAGGAAGGAAGGAAGGAAGGAAGGAAGGAAGGAAGGAAGGAAGGAAGGAAGGAAGGAAGGAAGGAAGGAAGGAAGGAAGGGGCATCCATGCTTAAGTAGGAGCATGGATGCCGGTTCCAGGAGGCGTCTAACTTTTCACTTTTCTTTTCGGAGCCATTTCAGCACATTTTTTTTTTTTCATTGCACAGCCCAACATACATAGCTTGAGTTTTCCATATGGGCATATAATCCTACTGCCCTCAAAGAGTTTTTTTTTTTTTAACAAAAGACTTATACTGGGAGGATCTCCGGCTTCCAGTATGGCAAGGTATCGCTTGCATTTTCATTTTCAATCAAGGCAACTACACTCCCCTAATCTGACATTTCCCCGGGGGAATGGTTTTTATTTCAGATCTGCAGGGCTCTGCAGCATTGATGCTGGAGTATTTGCTCAATTTCCTTTTGTACTTGGTTACTATAGAAACCTAGGGTCTCAGTTCTTCCAGGGTGTCTAAAACAATGGGAGCCCTAATGCTTATTAAACCTGCAGATTGCAAAGTTCTAAGTTGAATCCATGGAAACATAAGAGAAAGCAGATGCACAGGGTACCTACTGATTTGATTTTTTTTTTCCCCACTTGGCACATCTAATAGCATTGGAAGAGAATGCCTCTGCTTTAAAGACTCCACTTACAAGGTACTAGAATGCAAGCAAAGGTTAATTATTATTATTTTTTTGAAAATTACTGTTCTTGTCCCCAAAAATTCCTTGGTCTCCTGCAACGTACCTTAGTAAAGCATTTCTTTAAAAATAAACATAAACTTCAGTATGTTCCTGATGCCTACAACACGATCGGGTAGAAAATAAAGCATATGGTTTAAAGGTGGCATGTAGCTAAGTACAAATTCAGCTTGGAGGGGGGGGGGAAATAAAAGGAAATATTACTTTCGGTTTAGCAAAACTGCGGGAAGAAAATATTTTTTTACATATAGTCCTCAGCTTATGACCATTGGAACCCGAATTTCCACTGCAAAGCAAGGTGGTTAAGTGAGTCACACCTGATTTTTGACCTTTTTTTTTACCAAGGTTGTTAAGCAAATCACTGCAGTTACGTGCATCACAAAGTCATTAAGAGAGTCTAGCTTCCCCCTTCGACTCCGCTTCTCAGAAGCTGGCTAGGATGGTCACAAATGGTGATCACATGACTCCAGTAGGCTGCAACCATCATACATGCATATTGGTTTGAATTTTGAATTTGAATTTGGATCGTGTGACCTTGGGGGTGCTGCAATGATCATAGGTCACTTGTTCGGTGCCATATTAACTTCAGATTGTAAATTTACTTAATGTTCATTTGCCATAATGTGGATTTTTTTTAATGAAATATCTTACAAAATGCTGTATATCCTAGCTCTGGCTCAAGGCGTGATGTTCCTGATCTTTTCGCCTTCCTCAATTTTACAACATCCCTTCAACGTGGACTGAAAGATCTTGGTTGCCTGAAGTCCATTCACTGAGCTTTGTGACCAAGAAAAGCCTTAAATCAGGGTCTCCATGGGCCTAGTACAGGGGTCTTCAAACTTGGCCCTTTTATGACTTGTGGACTTCAACTCCTAGAATTTCTCAGCCAGGCACCGGTACTTGGCTGAGGAATTCTGGGAGTTGAAGTCCACAAGTCATAAAAGGGCCAAGTGTGGAGACTCCTGGCCTAGTGCAACATTTTAACCATGACATTGCATTGTGTTTATACAAAATCTTCCATCTGTACTTCACTTTTATGGACTTCCTGAAGTCATCTTTGGTGATGGTTTTCTAATGTATTTCTTCTAATTGGGTCCAAAAGATAAGGACACACATGCTCATAGACGGCCTTCATAGAGTGTCCTTTGGAATAATGGAGCAGAACTATAAAAAATGTTGATTCCACAATCCATACAGGATAGTAACTTCAATTCATAAGAATCTTTGCATAGGGGGGGGGAGAGGGGAGACCTGAGGTCATATGTTGGATTGTTATCAATCAAACAACAAAAGTAAAGTTACTTTGCCTCTGCTATGTTCCCATTTCATGTTCACAATCCAGTGTGGGCATTTTCAAGAGTGCCCCTTCATAAAATTGGCCAACATTACTAAAGAGGTGGCATGTTTATTATCTTATGGTTAGCCAACATAGACAATAAAGCCATTTTGGTTGGTGACTATGGAACCCCATAGGAAAATATCTTTCTAGCTTGCCTCGGTCAACTATAGCTTGAGGATTTCAGATTTATTAGACTAGAATTCCCATAATTTCCCATCCATCTTGGCCCTTTTCTTCCTTTGAAGTAATTGCGTTAAGCAGATATTTCAATGATTCATATATATTTGATGCGGCTTTTATAGCTTGCTGGGATTCTGAATTATGTTTGAAATTACTTGCGTTATGGTCAAATTGCCCTGAATCTAATTGCACTGAATTTGTAAAGAGCCTTGAGATAAATATTTCCTTCGGAGAAGTAATATAAAAATATCTCAACTAAATATCAACTCTCTAAGTGGGTAGGTGTATTGAGATGCTGTACAGCAGGTTGGTTATGGTCTGATAGAATTGCACCAGTTTGGTAGATTCCAAAATACAGTAGCTGTTTGATTTGGAGGATAACATGCAGTTCTGATGCTCACCTGGGCTTGGTTTCTGCCCAGAATGTCTATCTTCTGATGCATCAAAGTTGGGTCCTGATGGATGGAGAATGAAGGCATTTTCTTCATCAAACTTTTGGAAATGAATTTGCCCCACCCCCACAGGCTTCAGATATATGAGAAACTAGTATTGTAATAGGAGGAGAGGAACATTGTTCATGGACGGCCATGCAGCAGTAGTGTCAGAAAGTGCCTCTCCCTTGTGGTCTTAGAGCATGGTTGATTGTCAGAACTACTCCCAATTTCTACGGTAGTAGGAGACCATTTTTTCTTGAAACAAAATCTTCCAGGGCAGCAGCTGGACTCGCTGAGACCCTGAAAGTTGAGTATTGTGACTAAAAATGCAATGAATCCCTTACTAAGGGTGATGTGTCGAGGAGAGCTATCTGGAAGTAAAACGTGACTCAGCAAATGTGGCAGATAACCAATTTCCATCTGACCTCAAAGCTGCTGTGGTTGAACCAAGTGTGATAGAAGCTCGGGCTAAGTTGTTTTCTGTTTCTTGCCCACCCTTCTCTTTGCAGCGGATGTGGTTCGATGCCTGAATAGTGCCCTCCAAGTGGGATGTGGGGCTTTTGCCTGTCTGGAAAACTCTACGTGTGACACCGGCGGCATGTATGACATCTGCAAATCTTTCCTCTACAGTGCTGCTAAATTTGACACTCAGGTATGGTACAGATTTGAATATCTTTATGTGCAGCAAGGCCAGGAAAGAGCTTCAGCTCCTGAATGTATGAAATTCAATTGCATATAAAATAGGGCAGCTCTTTTGTATGCAAAAGACCTTAAACTTCATTCCTAGCATTTCCTCTTACGACCGGAAAGATTTAGATGTGGAAAAAAAAAAATCTGAGGAGCAGCAGCAAATGAGTAAAATCCTACGTAATGTATATACGGTCCTCAACTTACAACCAGCATTGGGACCAAGCCAAAATGTCCACTGCTATGTGAAACAGTTGTCCGGTCAGTCACGCCCAATTTTACAATCTTTTTAGCTGTGTGATTGTGGTTAAGTGAAACATTCGGTTGTTAAGTGGAACCATCTGTCCTCATTGATTTTGCTTCTTGGAAGCTAGCTAGGAAGGTCACAAAGGATGACTTTCCAACCAATGTAAATACATGAATTTTGATCATGTGATTGCTGGGATTCTGAGATGGTAATAATAATAATAATAGTAATAATAATAATAATAAAGTTGGAAGGGACCTTGGAGGTCATCGAGTCCAACCCCCTGCTCAGGCAGGAAACCCTACACCATTTCGGACAAATGACTGTCCAGTCTCTTCTTAAAAACTTCCAGTGTTGGAGCATTCACCGCTTCTGGAGGCAGGTTGTTCCATTGGTTAATTGTTCTGTCAGGAAGTTTCTCCTTAGTTCTAGGTTGCTTCTCTCCTTGATCAGTTTCCATCTGTTGCTTCTTGTCCTGCCTTCAGGCGCCTTGGAGAACAGCTTGACTCCCTCTTCTTTGGGGCAGCCCCTGAGATACTGGAACACTGCTATCATGTCCCCCCTCGTCCTTCTCTTCGTTAAACTAGACATGCCCAATTCCAGCAACCGTTCCTTATATGTTTTAGCCTCCAGTCCCCTAATCATCTTTGTTGCTCTTCTCTGTATTCTTTCTAAGTGCAGGAACTGTTTAAAAGTCACTTTTTTCATAACTTTGATCATTAAACAAATGGTGGGTAGGTTGAGGACTATCTGTAAAAGATTTTGAGTTTGGCTGCAGGTCTACACATCTGTGACTGAGAAGTTGCTATGGCTATTGCTATATCTAGAATTCAAATGTTGGGAGCCCACATGGTATGGTTGACATAGAGATAACTGGATTTTAGTGCCCCTTTCTTTCAAACCTTCTCAACATTTGAAAAGGATGGGAGCCCTTAAATTAATTTCATACCCATCACCTATTCGACTCTTTATTTTTCATCTTGACTTTTATTCTGAAAATGAAATTTGACACCCGGGGGGAGGGGGGTTGAGAAATGAAAGGACTTTCATATTTAAAAGAGCTACATCTTTGCAAGACTCCAAAAAATGGGAAACCAACTCAAAAATAAGTTTGAGATACGTGACTCATTCACAGTTTCAAATACATCACTTTCTCCTTTTTGCTGCAGTTCTAGCCATTAGAATAAAAGCCATTGGAGCCAGGACTAACTTGGAAATTGGGCGAAATTCATTCTCTAACAGGGATAAGTGAGTAATTTCAGAAATGCGCAACACTCTTATCAGGAATAAGTTGAAAAGAATATATAAAATCAAATGTAAAAGCCCCCCAGGGTTGAGATAGAACAACTGGCCTGAAGTCACCCGGTTGGCTTCAGGCCCAAAGCAGGATTAAAACTCTGCCCTCCCATTTCTAGCCCAGTGCTTTTACACACTACAGCAAAGTGGCTGTCCTAAAAATCCCTTTCCTTTTCACTTGATGCTTACCCAACCGACATAGAAAACCATTGAAATCAATTTTCCCCCAAATTAGGGAAAACTCAAAAGTATTTTGTAGATGATATTCAACACCAATGAAGCTTAGCATCCTAACACCTAATGTACACCCTATGCTTTGGAGAAAAAGTAAAGAATTAAGTGCATATTATCTATAGGGTGTTATTTTATCCATACTTGTCCAGGTTTTTTGGGATTGTATTTTTTTTTAAAGTTAAAACGGGTTTTATATGACATTATTGCATCCCGTGTTGGCTTTATTTATTTTGTTTTGTTGGTAATCCAAACAACCTGTTGAAACAATCAAAACTTGATACCTTATTACTGTATTCCTCACAGACAGCCAGTAGCATCAAAATCTTGAAAAACAGGAAAGGAAACGGAAATATTGCCATTTCCACATGATACTAGATATTCTAGAGCATGGGTGTCAAACTCACCGCGTCACGTGACGTGTTGTGATGTATCACGACTTTTTTTTTGCATTGGGTGGGCACAGCCTCTTCATGATGCAACTGACCCGCGGGACGGCAGTTTGACCCCCGTTCTAGAGGTTTGCTTGAATGGAAATGTTGACCTAAGAAAAGGGTCAAGTAATAGAGACACAAAATATGATTTTTTTACTTGGTTTAAACTCGTGAGAGTGATAAAGCAATCACAAGAACTTTGCTAAACCATGTCTGAGCCATTCAAAACAGACACTTCCATGTCTACGGAGATCCTCAGTCATCCAGGTCATGGTTGTCCCAAAGACGTTTTTTCAAAAGGCAACTGGACTTTCTTGTTTTCCTTTGAAGACATTTTGCTTCTTATCCAAGAAGCTTTTTCACTAGATCCTTCCACTCCCCACCATCTAGTCAGGGCTGAAGAAGGTTCTTCATTAGATCCTTCCACTCCCCACCATCCATTCAGAGCTGAAGAAGCTTCTTCATTAGATCCTTCCACTCCCCACCATCCATTCAGAGCTGAAGAAGCTTCTTCATTAGATCCTTCAACTCTCCACCATCCATTCAGAGCTGAAGAAACTTCTTGGGTCTTCAAGTTGCCTTTTGAAAAAGCACCTTTGGGACGGACATTTCCATAGTTAGAACAGCTGATTCTGGTGTTAAAGCAGCTCTGGATGTTTTGCAGACCTCTAGTTAATATATCTGAGGGCTGTGTGATCAAAATTCAGAGTGGAAGATGTTATTTTAAGGGCTATATTAAGTCATCTGACAATATTTCTCTTTCTACAGTAAGATCTTGGGGGGGGGAATGAAGCAATATTTATTAATGTGGGACCATTTTCACACCCAAGAATAATTCACTTTTTAGCTGTCTTTCCCTTTTAGTTGGTTTTGATAGCTGCAGCAAATGGGGCTGACAGAAGGGTTTAGGAATGCACATTAATGGTTATGTGGGGTGAAACAGATCCTTATCTCCTTGTGGCTTGGTCAGATGCGAAAACCTCTTTGGTTATAGGTCAGGCAACCCAAGGTCTCCAAGCAAGATTGTTAGGTTAGTGCAGGGGTCTTCAAACTTGGCTCTTTTATGACTTGTGGACTTCAACTCCCAGAATTCCTCAGCCAGGCACAGGAGTTGAAGTCCACAAATCATAAAAGGGCCAAGTTTGAAGACCCATGGGTTAATAGTATTCAGAATGACTTTGAATCATCCCTTATCCATGGAAGGAAGTTACAGAGAACATGGTCATAAACTATTTCTGATAAGAACTGTACAGTGATAGAATAGTCTTATCTATGGAGGTTGTGGGCTCATCTGTTTCTGTTGCTCCCCTCTGGGAGGGGGTGTCAAAGTATTTCCAGCAGGACTACCAGATTCTGTAACAGTTTTGTTCCTTATGCCATCCGTCTGATAAACTCGCAAGATTCTTTTTTCTCATCATGTACATGTATACATCCAAACCCAACTGTGTTGTTTTTCTGTGTCATAGAATATATGTGGGTATATGCAAAAAAAAATTCTTTTTGTCATATTTATGTAGTGTATATTGGAGGTGGTGATCCTTTGAGAGCTGTATGCAATGAAATTTCATTTTAATGTATGCCGATTAGTGTACATTCAAAGTGACAATAGTTATTCTATTCTATTCTATTCCTATTCTGCATTCTATTCTATATCCTATTCTATTCCTATTGTGCATTCTATTCTATTCTGCATTCTATTCTATTCCTATTCTGCATTCTATTCTATATTCTATTCTATTCCTATTGTGCATTCTATTCTATTCTGCATTCTATTCTATTCCTATTCTGCATTCTATTCTGCATTCTATTCTATTCTATTCTATTCCTATTCTGCATTGTATTCTATTCTGCATTCTATTCTATTCTATTCCTATTCTGCATTCTATTCTATTCTATTCTATTCTATTCATTATTCCATTCTATTCTATTTCATATTCTATAAACTGTTCTTCCTTAATAGCATTGCAGCAGTACAAAATGTTCCTATTGATCTTAATCCTGGAGAAGATGGTTCACATAAACTCCCTAGAAACCTAGCAGAGGGAGAATGTACACTGATGTGATGTCCCTTGTAGAACTTGCAGCACTATAAAAGTCCTGGGAGCTGTTTTCAACTTCCTTATTGCCACACGTACATGTTTGCTCTGCTATTGGAAAACTGGGCCACTGATCGTTGGCTGTGGGAATAACAGCCTTTTGTTGAGAAGCAGGCTGGACATTGCAATGAAGAAAGACTTCCAAACTATCACTCTTTATTGCATTCCTTTTGACTAATCTAGACACTCCTTAGATTCTTCCGGCAGCTCAAGTTTGGAAGAAGCTCTTGAATGTCATTAGGAAGCATGGAGAATTTCAGCAATGTCCATTCCATTCTGCTGAAATATCTCAAAGGGGGCTTTCATTTTTCTCCTTCATTCTCAGTCTTCAGAATTTGTTGGGGGGGGGGTTCAGCTTGTTTTAGGGTTGTGAGATGGCAAAGGGAGGGGTGTTTGTGGTGCACACCCCTCTTCTCCCTCCCTCTGCAGGGTCCCTGACTGCTCCTGATTTTGGAACTGATCTGAAGTTCCTTCCCTTGTGACATGAGGTATGGGAGGCTGCAAACAATTGATGTCAATGAAAAATATTACATTAACACACCAGCCTTCAGAAGAATTGTCATTCCTCAACATAGGACTTTCTGATACTAAAACAGACATGAGATATTTGGTACAGCTTGACTTGAAACCACCTTTTCTTCGTTCCCTGTTTGAGTAATAGCTGTAGCAAACGTATTTGCTACTGTTACTTTCCTGCATTTTGTTAAGCAGAGCTTATCTGATTTTGGTTAACCATCATGATTAATAAACTCTGGCTTCTAGCTGAAGGGAATCCAGCCTATCCAAATATGCCTATTTTGGAAATGAGGAACAATGAAAATAGAAAATGAAATAATGGTTGGTCTTTCATAAATCGTTGAAAGTGAGCTCAGAGTTTCTGTTGTGCTCCTATTATCAAATCTTGCTGAACTTCAGCAAACTATCTAGAGGTTCTTTATTTGAGGAAGTCTCCTTGTCTGCCTACCTCTGACACAGAGAAATAGACTTGCAAATGGTGAAGCTACTGGGAAAGGCAAAATTGGCCCCTTGCATTTGACAGCTCCTAAACTAGCTTTCCCAAACCTGGTGTCTTCCAGATCCATTGAATTCTCATACTTCTGTCAGTGTCTTGCCAGCTTGGAAGTGTGGTTGTTGTAAGTCTAAATTTAATATTCTGAGCTTTTGGACTCATACTGGAGCCCATCTTCAGTCAACGTGTGTGTGTGTGTGTGTGTGTGTGCGCGCGCGCGCGTGTGCGTGCGTGCGTGCACACATAGACAAGTTTTGGAAGATGGGCTCCAGTACGAATCCCAAAGCTTGAAAGACTAAATCTCTTGTCCTGGTGACCAACTCAGATTGGATCCTGCAACATGATCCTGGGACATGTATATTTGCCTTCATTCATCTGGGAAGCATCATATATATATAAAAGAAGTCTAGATGAGTTCGTTCTGTTGCTTGATGCTTCCTACCCACAGAAAGTTCCTTGCACCGATAGGTCCTTGTGACAACAGTATGCCTAAATCAAGCTTTCTCCATTACAAATCCATCACTGACTTCTGCTTTGGGTTTATTATTAATATAATAAAAAAGGGATGATATATTTTATAAATACAACGTGAAGATGGCCTCGTATTATTGTAAGCCTGGTGTGCTTTTATAATTTAATCAGTTTTATGCACTCTCACTCTAAATAGAGTATATAGAATATAAGCCTTGAAAGGGTCTTTGGGAATCACGATTAAGATTCCTGCCTGCAGGCATTCCCGACTGATCATCACTTTTCAGCAAAAGGGGAAGCTCCCGATTCTGTCTTCTCCATTGTTGAACAACTCTTAGAAGCAGTAAATTTTCCTGAGGTCCAACTATTTTCCAGTTGTCTTTAGGAACAATTCAGGGACAACTCTGAGGAATAATAGTGGGAGTTTGGAACTCATGGCAAAAAAATTGATGCAAGAGGTCCTTGATGCTCTCTGAACTTGATTGTTTTCCTGTAGATGTTTCATTGCCCAAACTAGGTGGCATCACCAGTGCTCAGTTGCTGTCCCATGGGTTTTAACCTAGTTCCTTACATGTTCCTGTCCTCCTTGTGGCAGGGGAAGGCCTTTGTAAAGGAGAGTCTGAAATGCATTGCCAACGGCATCACATCCAAGGTGTTCCTAGCCATTCGCCGGTGTTCCACATTCCAGCGTATGATTTCGGAAGTGCAGGAAGAATGTTATAGCAAGCTGGGCATCTGTGGCATTGCAAAAATGAACCCAGAAGCCATCACAGAAGTGGTCCAACTCCCAAACCAATTCTCAAACAGGTAGGTCTGATACTTCTTTAAATGACCCAGGCTGGACTTTGACCAAGGGATATTCAAGTCCTTGGTCAACAAGATTCTACTTTTGGTTTGTTTGTATCCCGCCTTTATTGTTTTTACAAATAACTCAAAGTGGCAAACATATCCAACATAACGTCATCTTCCTACTTCCCCCACATCAGCAAACCTGGTTGGGTTGGGCTGAGAGAGAGGACTGGCCCAAAATCACCCAGCTGGCTTTCATGACTAAGGCAGGACTTGAACTCCCCTTTTCTAGCTTGGGGCCAAAACCATTAGAGCAAACTGGTTCCTTGACGAGAGGCAGGGCATCTCTACAAGTTAATATAGTCTGGGTTTGTTTATTCTAGTGCAGGGGTGGGGAACCTTGGCTCTTTTATGACTTGTGGACTTCAACTCCCAGAATTCCTGAGCCAGCATGAGGGAAACTTTGGCCCCTTCATGACTCGTGGACTTCAACTCCCAGAATTCCTCAGCCAGCATGGCTCAGCTTTGAAACCTCTCCCTTTCCCCTCAGCGTGGCTGGCTCGGGAATTCTGGGAGTTGAAGTCCACCAGTCATAAAAGAGCCAAGGTTCCCCACTCCTGTTCTAGTGTATTTAAATATATATCCTGCTTTTCCTGATTCTCTTGTCACTTGGTGGTCAAAGAGAAGACAGCTCTGTGTATTTGCCAAGTGCTATTCCTCTTTCACTCAATGAATCCATGGGGAGCTATGAAGATAGCCACAGGTGCTATTAGCGGGATTTAAGCATTGTGTGCAGAGTGTAGCAAGTTGGGGGTTCATTGTACCTCAAGATTACAGCTCTTCACATCAACCTACATCCTCAGAGAATTACTTGGGGATTCTCAGAGCATCATAGAACAAGAGAGTTGTATCTCTCTGTGTCTCCCTTTAAATTGTAACCTTAGAAAGAAACAAAGAGAGCTGAGTGGTAGGTAGGTAGGTAGGTAGATAGATAGATAGATAGATAGATAGATAGATAGATAGATAGATAGATAGATAGATAGATAGATAGATAGATAACCTTTATTGTCATTTTTTCCCTGTGGACACAATGGGATACATTAAAAATGAAATTTAGTTGCTTCCTCTCAAAGTGTATACACATAACACATTTAAAACATACTATATACAACATATGTATAGCCCTACACCCTTACATATAAGTAACCTATAAATATTATTCACTCTCCGTCTTGAATACATAACGGAAGGAGGAAGCTTTAGAGTTCCCAAGGTTAAATATTGTATGGAACAAAGCTGTTACTGAATCTGGATGCTCTGCTTCGGATACCACGGAGCCCCCTCCTCCCAGAAGGAGGAGATGAAATTTAGGCCTGGGTTTAATCTCAGCCAAATTGAAAAAGGCTGCAGTGTGAACCCCCAGAGAAAGCACCTCCAGGCAATGTATAGCAGCTCCATTGGCTGGTAAATCTTGGTTTGTCGGTCCTGACTTACCAGAGGGGTAGGCGACTAAGACAGCTTTGGGCTGGCTGAATGAGTAGTAGGGAAGGGAAGGTTAAGAGGACGGCAGGAGTGTGCACTGCCTGCGAAAAAGAAGCAAGGCCTCAGCCACATGATTGCAGACATGACTTTTATGACCCCGTATGAGTGGCCGATTAAAATATTGTGACTGCTGTGTGCCACAAAACAAAACACGAGCACTGGACACATTCTAGTTTTCCTGAAAACATTATTGAAAGAATGGGCCACACATTCACAGCGTGTTCTTAAAATGTGGTGGGGTTTTGTTGTTGTTATTTATTTTATTTATTTATTTTTGAGTGACTGAAATAAAAGGCTAATACTGCAGCTAGAAATAAACCCAACAGGATTTCCTAGTAAGTAAGTTGACACTTCCCGCACCCCTTCCAAAGATACTAAGAATGGCTAAGTTGGTGATAGAGTCGAGCAGGAAGTCATTAAAAAGTCAGCACATCTTCCTGTGGTTTAGCCTGAGGAGACATTTGTGATACAGGAAGCAAGCTTTGAATATTGACATTTATCCTAAAATACTGCCATTCTCAAGACAGATTTTTTTAAAAAAAGATAATCTTCACACTTGGTCTGGATGGTGACTTTTTCTGAATTTAAATCCTACAGCCAGGATGAGCAGCCAGGTTCCCATAAAGAAGCGTACGCTAGATAATATAGGAAATGGTCTTCTGTATGAGGTCAGACTATTCAGGAAATTTGAACTGAGTAAAATCTGCAGCGAAGCAACCATTCATCCCTGAGGGAAGGAAAAAAATCAGATTCTGGATTCTCCACGTCCCTTCATGTCTCCGTCGGGAAAAGTGTTGGAGCTGACAGCATTTAGAGAGGGTGAAACTGAAAGTGAACAATTCATAACTATTGATGGAGAAGAACTGAATCCCACTTATGGACAAGGATTTTCAGCTTTATTGCCATTTATTGTATGATGAACAGTTGAGGGAGCTAGGTACATTTAACCTATCATACAGGAGGATTGGAGAGAGGGACAGGATAACGGTCTACCAGTACTTGAGGAGATGTCAAAGAGCAGAAGGGATTGACCTATTCTCCAAAACACCAGAGGACCAGACAAGAAGTAATGGGTGGAAGCTTATTAAAGAGAGAGCCAACCTAGAAGTAAGAAGAATTTTTTATGATAGTGAGAACAGTTAATGGAATAGCTCAGGGGTAGGCAAACTTGGCTCTTTTATGACTCGTGGACTTCAACTCCCAGAATTCCTGAGCCAGCCATGCTGAGGGGAAAGGGAGAGGTTTCCAAGCTGAGCCATGCTGGCTCAAGAATTCTGGGAGCTGAAGTCCACGAGTCATAAAAGAGCCAAGGTTGCCTACCCCTTGAATAGCTGGTCTCCTGGAGACTTCATTGGAGGTTTTCAAAAATAGACTGGACAGCCATTTGACCGGGATGTTATAATGTCTCCTGCCTTGAGCAGGGTTTTGGACTAGAAGATCTTCAACCCTATGATTCCCATGTTCTCTGTGTTCTATGTTCTCTCTTTCAATTTGGGTAGAGAGCTAAAGAGTTTTATTCTATTTTTAAAAGTGCATGAAGCCTATTTTAGGGCATAGCACTATTTTTATAGCAAGAATATTTGCTGTTTCTTTCTTAGTTTGCTTAATAGAATATCCTTCCTCTCCTCCAAGAGCTGAAGGCTCCATGTGGGAATTTCCTGTTTTTTATCCTCCAAACACCAACCCTGTGAGGTAAATTGAGCCAAGAGAGAGTGAATGGCAAAGGCCTTCCGTAATTTTCCATGGTGAAGGGTGGGCTATTGGTTTGTTCATTCATTCATTCTTTCCATTTATATTTCACTGTCATCCATACATAGCTTTCAGCGGTTCAGAGGTTACAAACAATGTTTAAAACAGGGGTCTTCAAACTTGGCCCTTTTATGACTTGTGGACTTCAACTCCCAGAATTCCCACCCTGAGGGGAAAGGGAGAGGTTTCCAAGCTGACCCGTGCTGGCTCAGGAATTCTGGGAGCTGAAGTCCACGAGTCATAAAAGAGCCAAGGTGGCCTACCCCTGCTTTAGAGGTAGTTAGTTTTAGAGTTCCTTTCCAAGATGATCTTTTAAGCCTTTATTTAGAGTTATTTAGCTTATCACAACCCAGCCTTTAAAAATCTACACAAATGTGAACTTTTGGGATAATTTAGCACATATCTAAGCCCCCCCCCCCAAAAAAAGCATGGAATTGGGAGTTGAAGTCCACAAGTCATAAAAGGGCCAAGTTTGAAGATCCCTGCCATAGACACATACTGATTATCTGCTGTTATGTCAGACTTGACTCTTCGCAGATCCAGTCCTCAAATTACAACCATTCATTAAGTCACTATTCAAAATCACAACAGCACTGCAAAAGTGACTTGTGACCAGTTTTCACACTTACAAACTGTGGCAGCATCTCCATGGACACATCAAAATTCAGATGCTTGACAACTGACTCATATTTATGACAGTCGCAGTGTCCCGGGGTCACGTGATCCCCTTTTGTGACCTACTGACAAGCAAAGTCAATGGGGATTCCCTTAACAACCATGTTACTAACTTATCAACTGCAATGACTCATTTAATGACTATAGCAAGAAAGGTCATAAACTGGGGCAAAACTCACTTAACAAATGTCTCAGCAGCAGAAATGTTGGGCTCAATTGTGGACTTGTTGAGGACTAGCTGTAAAAATCTGTCTAGACTTGGTATTGCCCCCCATAGCCACCGTAACTGAGTCCCGCTTCCCATGTTGCCCTCCTCTTTTCTTGTCTTCCACATTTCCCAGGATGAGAGAGAAGAAGAAAACGGTGTAAATTATTATCAGCGTTTCATAACTTTCATATTTGTTTAGCCCTCTTGAGCGCGCAGAGAATTTGCCTACGGTTGTGATCTAAATTTAGATCTCCTTTTCTCCAAGATTTCAATTCCATTTTATCCCCATGGCACTCCGTGTGCTTCCCTGGCCAAGAATGGATTTGAAGTGTAGGTCCACCGTTAACGATTACAACACACTGGGTCTCCTGCATTTCCTCTATACTTCAGAGGAATTGAAGATTTTGTGGCTGAGGCCAAGCAATTTCCTAAGCTTTAGCCCAATCTCTTAAATGCCACGCCATTTCAAGTTAATTGACTCCAGATGAGTAAAATCTGGAAGTCTTTTGTTTCCTCCACCTCCAGCGGACAGGCCTTGGGTTAAAATGACAGAGGGAGCATTCTTGACTTGATCAATTTAATATAAAGGCCTCTGGTGCTTCTTTTGCTAGCCCCTACGTGAAACAGCCCAGTGGATGAGAATCTAATGGGATTTAAACCCGCCACTCTTCCCTTTTCTCATCCGCCTTCGAAAATTGACATGTGCGGCACTCGAACAGGTTCTTAGCCCATGCTTGCGCAAATTTCCTCTCTGTAAATGAAAATATGACTTGCATGTCTGGAGCGGTTATTATGGGGCTGGAAAAAATATTTCAGATTTTTAAGACGCCAGCGTCTGGATCCTTGGAGGAGCTGGCTTCCCAAGGCCTCTGAGGCAAACCTAGGGGAACACTGCACAAGATTAGCCTCCCTTGTGTTGCTCTGTCACTCTGATGTGACTTCAGGCAGTTGCTGGGTGGGAAAAGGGCAGGCACGTGTGCCTGGCTGAGGAATTCTGGGCGTTGAAGTCCACAAGTCATCAAAGGGCCAAGTTTGAAGACCCCTGGAAAAGGGCCTCAGCTTGTCACAGAAGGGGCAGCCCAGCTGCTTTCAGGGCAAGATGGCTGAAAGAGTGATGTTATTGATTACCTCAGGAGACGCTGAGACCTGGCTAATGGACCTGACTGATACGTTGCCAGCAAAGAGGGCAGTTTGATGTGATTTATTTGTGCTTTTTAATGGACAAATGTGGAGGTCCCAAGAGAAGACCCAGAGAAGCTTTCCTTCCAAAGGCAACTGGGCTTTCTTGCTTTGCTTGAAGATATATTTCGCTTCTCATTCAAGCAGCTTCTGAAGTTCTGACTGAATGGTGGAGAATGGAAGGATTTATGTTCCTTGCAATCATCCTGCAGAAATCCTTCCATTCTCCACCATTCAGTCAGAACTCAAGCAGTTCTTAAGCCACACAACCACCTTCATCTCCATCTCTAAATATTAAGCTACTGACCTGGCATAACGAGTGCTGGTCCTGAACATTGTCCCAATATTGGCCTTTCTTGGGTTTTTTTCCCCTTTGAAATGTTTCGCTTCTCAGTCAAGAAGCTTCTTCAGATCTTTTTCTTCAAAGGGAAAAAAAAAAGTCCAGTTGCCTTTTTGAAAAAGCACCTCTGGGACAACCATGACCTGGAAGATTGAGAATCTCCACAGACATCATGCATACTGTCTTCTGAACGGTCCTGAATTCTATGGACTCTGTTGAGCCTGGGACGATTTTATGGAGTACTAACTAATGTTGTCTTTATGCAGGTATTACAGCAAACTTGTCAGAAGTTTGCTGGAGTGTGGGGAAGAAACAGTCGGGACCATTAAAGACAGTTTGATGGCCAAAATTGGACCAAACATGGCCAGCCTCTTCCATCTCCTGCAGACAGATCATTGCGCCCAGATCCATCCGAGAGCAGACTTCAATCGGAGACGCATCCCCGAGCCTCAAAAGTTAAAAATCTATTTGAGGAATCTCCGGGGGGAGGGACCCTCACCAACCCACATGAAGAGTGATTCTTCAGAAAGTGCGTAATGTGCCACTGAATGAGTAGAGAATCCCAGTTGTACCAAACTAAGAAATTGCTCTTTTTTTTCTTTTGCATTCACAATACACCAGAAATTACTGTAACTGACTTCTAAGGACATTGAGCCAATCTATACATTCAAACAAACAAACAAAAAGGACCTGGCGTAGTTTTCCTGGGACTGTACCACTTAAAAGATTGAGGTGGGGAAAACTGCCTATTTAAAGCTTAATACTGCAAATGTACTCCTGCTTAAATAGTTCTTTCAACAGTCTAAAATATTTCATGAGGACCTCCTTTAAATGGGAAAAAATAGTTGACGTCTATTTCTTCTCCTCTGCCATTAATCATAACATATTCTGAAGTGGTACAGTCAGAAATAATTGGTTTTCCATGTTTTCTATGGAAGTATAGATTGGTCCCTGGTCATCAGCTATAGAATCTTTACTTCTCATCCCCAGGTCCCATCCCACCCTTCAGACAAACTGTGTAAAAATAGAATTCTGGTTAGGACTGTATAAAAGCTCCATTTCATCGTGGAATGGTGGATCCATTGATCTGCCCCAACAGATCAAATGAATATAAGCTTTCTTGAAAGTGATCATAAGAGCACTTCAGCAAACACCAAACTTTTCTTGTACTGTAGCTCAAGTGACTTTGACAGTCAGTCAGTGTAGATATAGCTCTGCTTATCCTAACGGGAAGACAAAAATGGGGAGTCTAAAACAAGAGCGAGAAGAAAGAAAAAATGTGTATTCTGTAGGTCTCGTTGATATGAATGGTACTGGTTCATAGGCAAATATCAGGATCCTATCTAGACTCTGAATCTCAGTGCTCCAAGGTTTAATTTTCTCACTTCTGAGAGTTCCTGAGATGACTATTTTTAATCAATGTTGACCTCTTCGCATTCTGACAGTAGAAGAGGCTCCTATAACAAATGAGCAGTTCATCTTGGATCGCTTGGAATGTTGTCCCAGCCTTTCCAATTAAGTGAAGAAACAATATTTTCGCTGGCCTGAGGACTGAGCCGACAAAGAGCTAAGTCTTGAGCTTTTGTAACAACTAGATCCGCCGCCCCTTCAGGTCTTCCTCAGAAAAAAAGGCACTTTGCCAAAGATTAGATACTTATCTTTTTTTTTTCCTATGCAAAGTCCAGAGGGTGTAAGCAGGTGGGGTAAGATGAAATGATGTCCAAGTTGTTCTTCTGGAACTTTGAAACACCAACAACTTGTATGAAATGTGCTGCTGTCTTTGCATTGCGAGAGTTTCACTTCCTGTGGACAATTCCATTTCCCACTTTCCATTTTAACATATGGCAAGAGCTTAGCCATAGAATTGCCATGGGTGGCATTAAAAATTATGATTTACCTGCTGTCCCCTGATGTGTTGAGCTATGGCTCTCATCACTTTCCAGCAACATGCTTGCTATAGAGTGATTGTAGACATAATCCAACACATCATAAGTACACTGGATGGGAGAAGACTGTCCAGTCCTAATCCGAGTTGTCACCGATGGTGGTGAAATTGTCTTGCACTGCACTTCTTGAGGCTGTAAGTAGAGAATCTTATGATGGAATGTGGCATGCCCAAAACAAAAGTCTTTGCATGAGAAAGTAGTATGTGTAGGGATAGGTTTGGTTATATCTCAGTGGACATACTATTTTGCTAGAAGAAAGTCTTATGTTATTTGGATAGAAGGGCAGTTCTTTTCTTTTAAGAGTAGCCTCTTACAGTTTGAAGTGGAAGGTCTTCACTAGAGGACCCTTGCATGGTAGTGGACAGAAGGGCTTAAGACGTGTCTGTATTTTTGGGGATGCTTATACCTCTTGCATGGTCTCTAAAAGAGCTGATGAAACCATCTAAGATACCATTACTTTCCTGGGTCACTTTAAGGAATCTGGTGACCACTGTCTTAAGAATAGAGCTTTGAGCCTTACTCTGTGATAGAACCTGAACAAATTGTGTACTGAGCAAAAATTCCAAGGAAATTCTTCTTTTTCAAATGGTATCACACAGCTTTGCAATTCCTGGTTCCATTTGATAACTTTGCAGATTTCTGGACAACTTAACTTTTAGGAGAACCACACCTCTGTTGAAAAGCATCAGTACAAAAGTGACTCAGTTCTAAAGGGCACTATACTGTTAAATTATTTAGCTTAGGAATGCCACCTGAATCAAGAGAAAGGGTTGGACAAGAAAATTACTTCGGTCATTGTCAGATGCCATATCATAATCCCTGCCTACATTAAACTCCTGCCTACATTTCTTGGGCACTGTTTCAAAAAAAAATAACTTCAGAAAACTGAACTATACATGACGTGCCTACTCGTAGCTTAACAATTTAGCGAGGGCTTGCCTTAACTCTCAATGAACTGGGTTGGAACAAGACTAAGTAGTTCAACTCAGGTCCCCTCCATATTCATGGTCAGGCTGGTTGTTAAATCACAAATTCAGCTAACTTAGTCTGTTGTGAATCCATTGATTTGCGACCTTTGAAATGTCAAAGTTAATGTCCCACTGAAGCAGCCTTTCAGATGAATCGCAAAACTCAGGGTCAGCTTATAGTTTAAGAGGAGAGGTTAGCAAAGTAGGCTTGATGGATTCTCCTGAGATATCTCTTCTCTTTTCATGCAAGTTTTGGCAGGCAACAGACCCACATTTTTTTGAAGCTGCCGGGGCCCTGCCACCTTGTATTTTTCACAATGCTTCAGCATGAGGTTACTGCAGGGAACGTAGGCAAATTTTATTGGAAGATTTTGTAGGACTCTGGCCAATATGCTTGACTATGCTGGGTGCTGAAATTAATTTTGGAGAAATTATTCCTGGAATATATCTCATCTGTTGGGAAGCTGAGGGTGCATCTAGAAAGCGAAGCACGTCAGGAAGAACAGTAGGTTCTCAACGCTTTCTGATCCAGTAGGTTTCTATTTGCAAATCATTTATAAGAACGATATATTCCACTGGGCATTTCTCTGATTCTCCAGGTTGAAAAGAGGTATTTCTGGAGCAGCTTGAATTTAAAAGGGGGTTGTTCAAGTCAAGGCTTTGCTGCTTTCTTGAAAAATTAGCTTTCCTAATGCACTGGCTTCAAAACCTTGCTGGAAGGATTTAAACAGGCACTTTACCTATTGCACTTTCCAAATCGGAATAAATCTTATCCATCGTGTGTGAAGTTCATCTTCTAATGAGAAATCTTTTGGACTGCAGTCAGGTTCAATAGAGACTTGATCCATGTACATTCCAAATTGGCAAGGTCATCCACCAGAGGAAAAGGGTCAAAAAAGATCAAGATAGTGGCTTCAGATGGTGCATCCATCTCTGTCTTTTTCTTTTGCTGCCCTCTCTGTGGACACTCCTGCAAACCTCTCCAGTAAGGGAAGTGGCAACTACAGGTGACCATTACCTTACTGTAGAGAAGCGAATAGTCACAATGAATATACTGAAAATATGCTTCTCATGGAAAACTATTTAAAAAGCAATAGAATGTTTACCACGACGCCTTTAAGCATTACCTTGCTGCTAAAAATACATTTCTCACCCGAGGCAGTACTTCAGCCTTTGCTGTCTTCATTTAAATGCATGTAGCCCAAGAAAAATGTGGTTATAGAATTATAAGCAGCAAAGGAAGAAGGGAAGAATTGCCAGTAGCAAGATTTTTATACTCCATATTATGCAGTCAAGCTCAGTCTAGGTGTGATGCTGTGGAATAGAAACTTAACGCTTTTCAGGTAAAATTTGATTCCTTTGTTTGTTTCAGGAATGTGTCTTTTCAACAATGCTTTAAAATGAAGGTTGATTGGGGAACGAAGCGTGTTTCTTGATTTGTGAGTGTGGAGCATTGATATTCCACAGTACATTGCTTGAATATTAATGGCATGTTGGAATTCTAGACGGGGCGGGGGAGAGAATGTGTATGGGAGAAGGAAAATCTATTTGGCGAATAGATTATATCACATTTGAGCAGGGGTCTCCAAACTTGGCAACGTCAAGACTTGTGGAATTCGGCTGCCATGCTGGCTGAGGAATTCTGGGAGTTGAAGTCCACAATTCTTAAAGTTGCCAACTTTAGAGACCCCTGCATTAGAGGATCTTGCTTTACATCGACAAGTATAGCAATTCCTTAAATCCCATAGGTTGATTCACAGAGTAATTTTAACTGCACTGAAATTGATATTTAATTTTGTTATAGAATGGATTTTCCTTGAAGAAAAAAAAGTGTGCATATAATAATGGTCACTGTAGCAACAAAGGGGTCAAAAAAAGGTTGGATAGTGGATGTGGCATCTCAGTGAAAAGCCCTACCCATCATCTTGCTCCTTTTGACTTCTTCCCACGGGTGGGAAGACCAGACCCAAGCTTGTTCATGAAACAACTGCATATCCCTAAAATGGCCAAGTTGATTGGCCTTGTGGCTAATCCATAAAATTGTCTTAAGGAAAGCAAAATACATCCCCATCTCAACCTCCTTAGACAAAGGAGAGCTCTCAAGATGTTGTAGACGTCAACATCTCATCAAAATGTGGCAAGGGATTGTGGGAGTTTATAGCTTGTGATTTAAAGCAAGAGCATAGCAAAATACAGCCCTCCTGATTCTATTGAGTTCCATCTCCAACCATGCTGGGCTGGATCTGAAGACCTGTATGTGGTGTGCCTAACATCTAAAAAAACATGGAGAGGAACAGATTCTCTATCCTTGCTCCAAGGACTCCTGCCTTCCCTTTCTCCTCTTCCCCTTTTTCTTGATTATATCCCCTCTTCATGCCATGAAAGTGACGTGCATGAACAGAACTAGCCACTTGTAAGGAACAAGGTTTTGATTGGGGAAGGAAAAACTGTAAAGGAAGGGAGAGACAACTTTTTAAAAAGAGCGTGCAAAATGTTCCGATTCAGACCGTTCTGAATCCTAAGTGAATGGCTTCAGGGTTCAAAACAGATCTTTTCCTGCATTTTGGAGGAGTATTCAGAAATGTTCAAAACAGCCCATTTTGTATTTGAGCATTTGAAAGGAGCATTTCAGATTCTAGCCAAATATGAAACATTTTGCATGCTATTAAAGAAAAAGCAGACCCTCTCTCCTCCTCTTCCTCATCCCACTACGACGAGGAAACCGAATTCCTGCTTTGAATGGAAGAGGAGCTTGCATACTCTCCATTTAATATCTGTCAAAAGCCTAAAATAGGTAACTGGTATAGCTCTAAGCAATTTTTATAAGCTTAAGGTAGATGAATAACAGAACTCTGTGTGCTATCAGTCCATGCAATAGAGTGAGTGCGACTCAGTGTGATACTAGATCAAAGTGCACCCCTTCTTAAAAACATCTGGCCTTATAATATTGGTGAATCCCACTTGAAATTGAGGGCTGGCTTATCTTAAAAAAAATAATAAAGAAAAATTGCATGATTTAATTGTGATTTTTTTCGCACTTTAGATATTTCGTGCCATTTCTATACAGATACATATATATATAAAGTATGTATTTATAATTTAATTTTTTTTCCTTTTTTGGCCAAATGCTGGAATAAACAGTGAGCATATCTGGTATATGTCATTATTTATTTATTAAATTGCAACTAAATTTTTTTTTTTAGAAAGAAAAAAAAGAAAATAACCACCGGTGTTCTTATAAAGATTATTTAAAAGTTATTGCAGCAATGGGGAAAAGATGCAAGTTATTTTCTCTGCTTATTTTTATAAGTAAGAAAAAAAAATGCATAACATTATAAAGCTTGTGGTGGATTCCTTATGAGAGCGAATTAAAAAAAATCTGGCCCCATGTTAAGTGTCTGCCTTCTTTTTTACTAAAAAAAATAATAATAAATCCTTATCCTAAACTGCAGCACTGATTGTCCTATGAAAAATTGCAAGAGAACAAAATGCCTCTTTTGAATTGTTGGAAAGTGGAGTTATTTTCTGGTACTGTATATATATGTCCTTTCTATTTGACCAAGTTGAAGCTGACATTCAGAGTCTGAATCATTGGACAACAGCTAAAAATTCACTTGAGGTTGTAGTAACAACCTCTCTTCTCTAAGTCAGTGGTTCTCAACCTGTGTCCTCAACCTGTGGTCTGCGGGCCTCTAGGAGTACACAATGTGGAGTACGTGGAGACTTGAAGAAATGTTATGATTTAAATCTTGAGTTAAATCTTGGGGGTCCATGGCCATGGACCGTGGGCATAAAAGGTATTTAAAGGGCATCCGTGGTGAAGAAAAGGTTGAGAACCATTGCTCTAGATCCTATATCATCCAGGTTGTAATTCAAGAACATGCAATTAAGGAAAACTGGACAGTTCAGTGGGCTTAGGATACAAGTGAAGTTTGCAGATAAACTGCCTAATAAGGATGCTGACTAACTGCTGAGAGGGATAACAGGCTAGACAAGAGACGATGGAATTGCTTGTTGTTCAATCATCCAGTAACATCTTTTTCACCAGGACTATTATTTTGGGCTCTTGTAAGCTCATATCTGTCCTCAGTAGTAGCACCTACCCACTTTGTCTTCCACTGGCCTGTTTTTGTGATGGCTTCTATTTTTGCCAAGCATCAGATTCTTTCTCCAGTGACTTTTCTTTACCCACATGTCCCAAATATTTAAGCTTTGGCTTCATATTTAGAATTTTCAATGAGAAGTCCAGTTTTACTTCCTCTAATTTTAAAGACCCCTGGGTTAAGTGATCATTCAAAGTTACAATAGCCCTGAAAAAAGTGACTTATGACCAACAGGGCTGGGTGAGAAATTCTGGGAGTTGAAGTCTACAAGTCTTAAAGTTGCCAAGTTTTGAAGACCCCTGACTTAACCAATAACTGTAAATTTAGGACTACCTGTATTCTTACAGTGTTTGCAAGTTATGGACAGGTATTAATCTGGAACACAAATTGGCTTATATACTCCATCTCTGAAATATCCAGGACCACTTACTGTTCCAAACTACCTTCCTAAATGAACAAACCATCTTGGACATATAATCAAATCATCCCATTCCTGGCATCAAAAAAAAAAATAAAATAAAATCCAAGCCAGTCTGGTCTATTTTGCCCATCTTTCTTTGATTAGTTTTTGAGAAGCATGCTGACAAATGTTTGGGGAGGTCTAAGATGTACCCAAGAAAGGGGGGTGGATGAGTAGCCCAGAACATCCTTGAGATTTATGTGAGTCCAAAGCCAATCATTTCTACCCATGGGGCATAGAATTCCCTTAAATATATACTGTCCATATTTGGTACATCAAAGACTGTCCCCCTACTCTAAAGAACATTAGCAAGGCAAGTTTTAAGTGCAGGTGAAGGCCACCTTTTTCAGGAAATCTCATCCTTGTTCCCATCTTCTTCTCAACTATTGCCCATCCAACAGACCAGTGGTGGGATTCAGCCAGTTCGCACCAGTTCAGCAGAACCGGTAGATAATTTTTTGTTGCCCAGGCCCAGAATGGACTTCCAGAAACGGCATCTATACAGAGAACCGGTTGTTCACATATTTGAATCTCACCACTGAAACAGACCAATAGGAACTGACCATTCATTCCCAAGTTCTGAATGTCAATGTTTTTTTTAAAAAAAAGTCCAACAAAAATCTAAATCGGTCTGAGAAACACAGGTTGCTTGACCTTTGCTTCAAAATAAAAAAAACAAAAAACCCTGTTATTCAAGATTCCTGCAAATTTCCAGAGAGACCAGCAGGTCTTAATCCAGAATGCATTCCAACACCTGGCAAGGCATCTCTCTCTCCAAAGCTGCTGTTTCCTCTCTCTTTGTCCTGGTTGTTCCTTTGACTTCCTTTTTCTCACTCATCAGACACACAACATATTTATTCTGAGCTTTTATTTGGACGGTAGGTGTGGTCAGAGGCTAGTAACCACCAACCATCAAAAACAAATGAAAGAATAATCGCGGGGCGTCCTTTGAGAAATAAAACCCCTGAAAAACTGGAAGAAGGGTATTAAACTTGTCTGAGGTGGGTGAGAAAGTCCCCCAAATCATGTTTGTTACGAGATTCCAGAGTTTGAGAACAGAGTCCTCTTTGGCACATATTCAGTGCAGAAATACATCTTTGGAATTTGACCAATATTCCCCATCCCCTTTGTTTATAGAAACCCCATTTTCTGCATAGTTTTTTTTTTTCATAAACTTATTTGGGGGACTTGGAGTGTAATTTTGCTATTGCTGCTATTGCTAAATAAGCCATTATTGAACTCCCACAAGCTAGAAAAAGCTGACCTACAATAATTCCATTCTACCTTCATATGTTCAAGAACCCATCTTGTTATTCGCATTTGTGAGTCACAGAGTTCACAGTGGCAAAGTTCGGAGACCATGCTCTGAGTCTCTTCATAGAGAAAAGTTAGAGTTAGAGAAAATGGCAACATAAGATCAGGAGCCCTTCCAGATGGGTCAATAACCCAGATAATGAAGTGAGATGAACATCTCACCTGGTGCTGTGCATTGCATTGCAACAATTGCCAGAAAAACTTCCTGTGGCAGTGATATTCCGCTCACTGGAAAATGTAAACACAACAGTTGAGAATGTGTTTTGTGTGCTTTCACTCCCTGGGATTTCCAGTCACAAGGAATCAGGATGTGGTCATTAGAGGGATTTTAATCTTAAAACTCAGGGGATTGCATCAGCCAGCATATATGATATCAAGTCTAATGGGCATACAAGGAGGGCCATAGCTCAAAAGCAAAGCAATTTATCGTTTCCAAATTCAGTCTTTCACGCCTTCACAAAGAGCTAGAATAGGTTTTTTGCTTGAAACTTTGGACAACCTTGATCAGACATTGTGAGACAGCTTTTCTGCAAAGACCCTCTTAAATGTGGTTGGTCTACCAGAAATTCTGAGCATTCGCATTTGGGTGGCCCCAAGTTGTGAAGAAATTGGAGTAGACGAAATTGGGTAAAATGAACCAGTGCTTCTTTATCTACTTAATTATAATTTATAGTCTGTCCATGTTTTATCAGGCTCTATATGATTAATACTGCCGAGCAAATGGTTAAAAGGAAACCAAGGGCTATTAATATTTTAATGAAACAAAGAAACACCAGCTCTTAAGACAAGGAAAAGTGGACAATTGTGGGTGATTTGATGTGGCTCAGCACCAAAGAGTTGAGTGATATTCTGCTCTTTTTTAGCTTTGTTGTGTAACAAGGAAGAAACTGGCTCAAATTTTCCTGGCCCTCACCCTTCCTGCTTCTCCCTCTCTCTTCTTTTTTCTCACACCCCCACCCTATCTCAATCCAAAGGCTAAAGAACTAAAGGAAAGTAAAATCATATGGCTTTTAAAATGAATTGTATAAAATGATTGAGGTGTGAATTTGTCTTCTTGTACTCTGCTTTGCTTCCCAAAAGCTATCGTTTACACTATAATATTAAGTGCCAAGGTCCTGATCTGCTTTATTCGTTTTTTGTAGATGTATTCAAGTACTTTAAAGTTGGGCACAGATAAGAAAATAAAAGAATAAGCTATTATTCTTTTATTATATGAGTGTTGGGATTGTTGCACAATTTATTATATGAGTGTTGGGAGTGTTGTACAAATCAGATGAGTGTTATAAGCACTCATCCCATTTGTGCAGATTTTAACTAGTATGAGTGCTGAAAATCACTGCTAAGATATTATTTTCTTTTGAGACCAGAATCAAACAAGATACACTGTAAAGCATACTTTACTTGTTTTTAACAATACTTTCCCCCTGATAAATGACACTCTTTGTCTTACCTACTTTGTAAAACCCCACCTGCTTTCAACTTGTCCCATCTACCATGTCTCTTAGCCTCTTCCCAAAAGATAAGTGGAGAAACCAGACATCAACATATTCAATTCAATTCATAATAGCTTTGGAAGGGACCTTGGAGATCTTCTAGTCCATCACCCTGCTCAAGCAGGAGAACCTATACCATCTCAGACAAGTGGCTGTCCAGTCTCTTCTTAAAAACCTCCAGTGATGGAGTGTCCATAATTTCTGAAGGCAAGATGTTCCTCTGGTTGTTCTCACTGTCAGGAAATTTCTCCTCAATTCCAGGTGGCTTCTCTCTTGGATACGTTTCTATCCATTGTTTCTTGTTTCCATCCACTGTTTCATCCATATGCCCCTCTGCAATTTACATAATATATCATCTTCTTGAATAGAATGTCTATCTTCTTTCCTCTTCAGGCAGTTAATGTTTTGTGACCAAATGGGATCTAAATGTTTGTGCCTGGAGTGATTACAATTTAGAACATCTGTTGGGGGTTTCATTTAATGCATTATTTTTCCAGGTTTTGTTTTTTTTTAACATTTGATAGCTGTTCTAAGAATGGGTTGCAACTGAAACAAAAGTCAGCCAACTGTGCACAGCATCAATGGTTGTTAGATGGGCCACTCCGTCAGCCCTGTATACAGCCACTCAGAGAAGGACCAACATAGCTTCATGGCTGGCAGAAGAACTACCCAATCGGCACCATGCACAGCCCTACTCTGAAAACAGGCTGCGTGATCTCAGCTTGGACCAGAACAAACCAATCCAGCAAGAATGGCTGTGTGCTAAATTAGGTTATACTTTAACTGAGTTATTGGTTGGAGAAAATGCATAAGTCAAAAAAAGAATAAAGTAGATCAGGACATGGGGATCTTAATATTATAATGTAAAAGGTAGTTTTTAGGAATACATGTGGACTCTGCTCCTACAGGAAACTCAATGCTTTAATTACATGCAAGGGGACATACTTTTTTTGTTCTTTGGGGCAGAACATAAGTGATTAACCTGAAAGGAAATGAATCATGGCCAGAGCCAGTGATG